GTGTGGGGATGGGGGCAGGGGGTGTGCTCTGCCATGAGTAAGTTCGGCTTAAAGACACTTCCCAGGGGTGTTTCTGGTCCCCACCTGTCGTTTTGCTCCTCAGCATGACTTCCTAAAAAYGCTGCAGAATTTCTCAAACATGCATGAATGAGTCAAAGCAAGACTCTGGGCATGTTTTTTATGAGAGTATAACATTATAACATGATATAAAACTGAAAAAAGTTGATTTTACATGATATTACCCCTTTAACTTTGAACAAACATGAAACATCTCATTCCTTGTTCCAAACAAACAATAACTGAGCTCTATGTGGTATTTTCGGCATAGAAACAATGTTTTAACACATCCTGTTAAAAAAACACTGAGAAGTACTGCTTGCACAACTGACTAAATGTGAAATGCATAATACAGAAAAACGACTAYAAGCAAAAGTAAGAGTTTTATTCACTATTGAGTTGTGGTGAATAGCTGCCATCTTGAATTCTGAACTCTCCCACTTTCTGACAGGGAATTCCCAATGGAGGTGTGTTTCTGTTTAAATATACAACTTATTAGTGGGATATTCCTACTTCCCATTACAACTGGGGCACAGCAAAAATACCCAGCAAAAATGCAGCTAAATGTATATATTTACCGGTTGCCATCTACTCTTGAATCCTGTGCACCTCCACCTAGGATGCTGTCATTTTGCAGTAAGAGTTTATGGTCAATGCTGGCTTTTAAGTGGATTATTTTGAGACAATAATAAAGGGCTATTTAATTAAATTGCTCAGGGGCTGGACARGTATTATTATCTCTCATCTCTTTCATGTCTTTATTTTGTTGCATTGAATCATAAATTCATAGTTTACTATAGATTTACCATCGATTTTTATATTAAATTAGGGAGAAAAAGGGGTGGCGGACGGGGCCTCACTGGCAGGCCGGATGGAAGTTGAGTTTGACACGTGATTTARAGCCTCAGCAGGCCTCTTCGCTGTCTTTGTCTGTTGGGTTAGTTGGATTAAGTGGCACTGCATTAGAGCAGTAGRTTGTTGTTTTCCCTGCTGCTTCACTCCTCCTGATCACCTCGGAGGTTCTGAGGAGCGAAGGTCTCGTAAACATTTATGTGTGGGCTGTGAGCTCCTGTCCTAAGCCACGACTYCACTGGGCAGGAGCCTAACGCGCCCCTTTATGCCTCTTAAGAGACCAGCGTGTTTCTCTGTGTGTGTTTGTGTTTATTTCTTCGAAACAGACAGAAAGTTATGCTTTCCTCGTCCTTATGTTTTGAATAATTCAACGATGGCTCTGTGTGTCTCCAGCTTACTTGTTTCCACATTTTGTTGCACATCATATGTTTTCACACTAGGACACTTATCATATGTAAATTATACAGCTTCGGGCTCTAGAGTCCCTTCAGCTGTCATTTTTTTGGTCACTCCTTCCAAGCAGAGACGGACACCCTGGGGAGCCTCCTGAGACAAAGTGAAAGGACAAAAATCCATTGGACTCCATCCATAAAAGCTGAAATTTTCTTGACTTCTTCTTTTAAAAACACTTTGAATTTTTTTCCCTGAAAGTCTTTTTTTAGACCAGCTTAGAAATCTTTTGCTTTGTCTCAAAACTTCAGGAGACTAATAAACATCCACCTTATAAAACTTATTAGCAGTCTTTTCTTGCATGCAGTTGAAGTATCTCAGTATAAAACATCCTGAAAGAAAGAAAGAAAGTAGTTGAAGATGAGAAAGATGGTCCCAGAGGGAAGTCAAGAACCACACTGCTTGCGGACCGCTGACTTGAAATCTTTGCAAAGGAGAAGATCTGAGATTTGCTTCAGACCGCTGTGTTTTCACGCATTGCCTTTATGTTTGTCGACTAAACTAAGCTTTCCTCTGTGCTTTTTTCTCTGCAGGATCCTGGATATGCAACCTTTCTGTTTGAACAGCTTCACACACCAGGGAATCCCGAGCTCGACTGTTGCCAAGTGTGCTCCACGCCTCTCCACCAGCTGAGGCAGGAGGCCCTGCAGACGCTCCATTCGCCTGTGCTCACCTTCAGCTCAGACATGGCAGCCATGCCCGCGACATCTTYTTTACCGCAGCCTTCCAGATTCACTGTGTCGTCCTCCGGCGTCCACGCCAAGCAGCTGCTGAAAAGCCAGCCCGCTCCCCACTCCGTCCTGCCTTTAGGGGAGCGGCACAAAGTGCCGGGCTGGTCCCCGAACCCCTCTGCCTCTTCAGGGTCCAAGACCAGTGTTCAGGTAACAGTGGCAGGAGGACAGCTAACTGGATCACTGAGCACYGTTACCATCCAGGCACAGCAGTACCTTGACGGAATGTGGAGCATCTCTAAAGTCAACAACGTTTTGCCTCAGCCTAAGCCTGTACGTTCATATTTTATTTTTTATTTTAAGCAAAAATAATGAAAATATGCATTTTTTTTAAGAATGATAGGTCAACTTTCAATCTGTTCTTTTGTAATCTAACATAGCATAATATCTCACATCAGAATAAATAAATAAAATGTTAATTTTCCTTTAAACAAGGTGAAGCTCTGAAAATCTGGGTCTCAGCTCTGCAGGAGTTCTTATCTGTCATTTCTCAGATTTTGTACTGATCGGAGGTCAGAGGTCACCTCAACCCTTATCTGCTGACCTCCTCCTCAAGGGTRTTTCAGACGACCACGCCTAAGCGTAACTTTTCAATCACGCTGACCCAGGCTTGTTAAACGTCTGAGAGGTGTGAACAGGCTTTGTTCTTGGTGTCATGGGAGATGCTGCACCTTATTTTAGATGCTCAAACAGTGTTTTAGCAGAGGGAGTACATCTGACTGTGAATGTCAGCGACTCACAGCGCTGGCTACTGATAAGAAGGTGTCTGGGTTTCTCGATGAGTCACTTCCTGTAATGATGGGGTACATCTGGTCTCAAMTGACAAACCCCTGTGACGTTCTGCAGCTGCCAGATTGTGTACAGATTAAACGATATATGCACACAACGTCCAAAGCTCTACCAGTTTATGTTTTAATAAGCTGTAAAACTCATTGATAATAACTTCTAATCTGTCTGGATTGTTCCTTCTTTCTGTGTGGAAAAACTGAAGACAGATTTTCTTTTCTCCTGTAACGTCAACAAGTGCCTGTGGAGATGGTTTATGGGAGGCCATGAAAAGCTTTTAACTGCTTGTACAGGGTCTAGTTCAAATCAAATGGCCTGGTACAGACGGGGAGAGCGACTTGTGTTCTCCATCTATATGTGTCTAAAAGCAATTAGTGGCTCTTGGAGCCTGGGCGAGTTGGGGCTTTCTTTTGTGCAGGGAGAAATGCCCCTCCAGGACATTGAGTTACAAACAGAAAGGGTGTTATTTTCTCAAGCCAGTTTCTTTCATTACACTCTTCAGATTGACATAAACCCACACACGCTCCTGAGGATTGGAAGTTACACAGTGTCAAAAGGCACTAGCTTTAATTCATGATTCCCTCTTGTTTTCTTTAACTGGAAAGCGTGTGCAGCGTTGTTCAGACAAGAGAAGCAAAGATGTTGTGCTGCTCAGAAATTTCTTTGGGATTGTCAACTGGGGGTCCTGGAGTCCTCCCACCCACAGCCCATTAACAAGGCACCTTGACTCTCCCGCGAGGKCTCCGCTTAACATCTGGAGTTATGTTTGTGTTGAATTAAAAAAAAGATCTTGTTCCATTTTTTAGTAACTGGTTGACAGTGATTCATGCTGAGGGAAGCAAAGTGAATTAGTGGTTAGAGCTGTTTGTTCAAAGAAAGAACTTATTGAATCTCATCTTGATCTTTTTTATGTGGAGTTTTTTTATATTTGATTTTTTTCCCCCAATTTGTAAAAAGAAGCAATTAGTTTTGGACTTAATGTTCTTCCAACAAATGCCTTCATGAAAGATGAATAAAGCTAAAAAAGGGAAGAAAAAAAATCATCCATAAGATAATTAATTTTTTTGCTCCCCTGGTGTCACTGTTCTCAGCTGTCTTCTTTTTGTGTTAAAGCTGTGTGAAACAGTGATCTGTCCACAGTGTTCTATAGAGCAGTGTTTCCCAAGGTTGGGGTCGGGACCCAAAGTGGGGTCCTGAAATATCAAGGTGGGGTCCTGAAAAGATTATCTGAAATTAATTACATTTTTTCCTTAGTTGTTACAAAAGGAGTGAGGTTAGTGTATTTAAAATGGATAAATGTAGTATAAAAAATATTGTTACTATGCCCATGTTTTGTTGATAACTGTGTGCACAGGTCTCTGCTACTGTTATTTTGTGGGTCAAAAGCTGAAAAGTTTGGGAACCACTGCACTTTGGTGCCCAAAGTTGGGCTTGGGACCCAATTATGGGTCATGAAGCACCTTGGATAATCTCCAGAAATCAATTTAAAAGTTAATAAAAAATTGCTGATGTAATATTTTTTCTATAATTATTACAAAAACACAAAATAATAAAAATAAGTATTTATATTTGTGTACAAGCTGTTTAGATTGTTCAAAATTCAGTGTTTTTAGGGTTATTTAAGAAGTTTGTGTACTTAGACCAGTAATATTTGGGGTCACAAGTTTTTGCCATGGATATTTTGTGGGTCAGAAGATAAAAAGTTTGGGAACCAGTGCGATAGAGGGTCACACACAGAGCAGGTTTTCAGTTAAACTGCAACATTTATGTTTTGATACAGCCACTTATTTACACGTCACAGGTGATCGGAGTCTCTGACAGCAGCACTTGTCTCAGAAGGCTCTTTTTTTTTGCACAGCCCAGTTGAGGTTCACACCCAGGTTTGGCAGTTTTGCATTATAACCCGCCTCACWGCAGCTGAACTGCTGAACAATCAAACTGTCACAGTTTTACGACGAAAATTTCGTCATTTTGGTTCGCACTGTCGATATTTCGGCACCTTCTTTCGCAGCCTCCTGGCAGAACTTCTTACCCCCGTCCACATGAGAACTTTTAAGAACTTATTGTATGATTGGTCAGACGTTTGTGGGAGTGTTTGTCCTGAAAGTGCTCAGGAGCTGCATTTTACTTCAACCACTTGCTTCTAAAAAAGAAAAAGAAAACAAATAAAAAAAAAACAACAACACAGATTTGTAGACAAATAATGTCGAGTCGAGACTTTTTTTTTTTTGCATTGTGCGGAGGTGCAAAGTACTCCGCAGATGTGAAAGTGTGCACGCACACACAGGCAAATACAGACTAAAGTTTCTTCTAAACTAACAACAGTTACAGTAAGTTACAGACAGCAGAGTGTTTTTGTACTGCTCACCTAGCAGCATTCTACATCCTAGGTCCAAAGGAAGTTTAGTTTATTCATTAGTTTGAACGTAACCATGATCATGCAAAAACACTGCAACACCCTGACTCAGCATGTATGACACTTTGGGTCAAAATACTATAATTTTAAAGGAACAGTACAGCACTTAACCATGTCCCATCTTGCAATCCAGTCTGGCGCATCACTGCGGTGGTTCCGTGTAAACAGGTGATTTTTTTGTTTATTTGCCCCAAAAAACCCAAACAAACAAAACAAAACAAAAGAAAAAAACACCAGCATATCCAGAGATAGGTCTTGTGTAAATAGGATCGGTCTTGTCCAGTGTTTGCTGAGAAAAGCTTCAGCTCAAACCCCTCCAGCTTGATGCTAGCAGAAAGAAAAAAAAAGATGATTCAAATGTTGCTGCTTCAAACTGGGCCGACAAATGCTGTTTTTGTTGCCTTTTTTGAGGTTGTCTACAAGAAACAATCTCCTTGTGGGTTCATTACCGTGGAAGCAGGACAGGTTTAAACAGGTGAACAGCTTCAGTGCTGGATGCAAAACTGAAATGCTTAAACTTTACAATTGCTTAAGTAATTTTGTCTGTTTTAATCAAAAGCTTTAAAAGTATTCTAGGAAACCACATTACTAGCCGTACTATAACCACAATTCAAAACAGGAAAATGATTCAACCAAATCCACATATTTTTGTGTGCTTTATTCAATCTACAACCACATGCTTGCCAGTCTACGAATACCAAGAKTACTTGAGTTATGAGGGCTTCCGTTATTGGCCTGGTGGTTGCTTGGGTTCTATGGCCACCAGTTTTATTAGCAGATGATTTTGGTYGCTGCTGCTTTGGTGCAGCTGGACTCGCATGGCAACATGCCACAAACAGCAATTAGGACGAGAAGAAAAAGAGGAGACTTTCCCCTATTTTACCAAATTTGGAAGCTAATGAATATCGTTTTTTTTAGAATTACTTAAAATTTTCTATTCAAACAACTAAAAAATGTTGTTTTGTTCACAAAGAGGCAATTCAGTATTGTGAGCAGTCAATTCTCAACTCAGCTGGCTTTTGTTGGTTGCAGAGGGCAGCTGAGCACGACGGTAAGATTAACACAAGATCTTTTTCCACGTTAGYTGAAATCGTCTGTTGACCACTGGGTTCAAAGGTCCCGGTGGACTCCAGGTAGTCTGAGGGGGAAATGGTCTCCTGGTGGAAAGCTGGACTTCAGTGCTCACTTCAGACTTCAGAGCAAACTGTCTTCTAACCCCCTTTTTTTCTATCTTTTTTTTCAATTCTTGACTTTTTTCATTATGTTCAAGTCTCTCTCGCTTTGTCTCTCCCCCTTGTCTGCTTTTTCTTTCCAGTGAAAAACCAAGGATAAAAGGCTGGGGGTTAGAGGGTGGAAGGCCAGCTCATTACTGACTTTTGGTGCAAACAGCCGTGCACACATGGCTCCACTGACACAGCCTAATTACCTGACCGGGGGATAGATTGTACTTTTCAGTCATAATCAGGGCCAGCCCAGGTCCAAGGCTACAGAGAGCAGCCTGGGTGTGGAGCTTAAGTCCCCATTTTTTATACCAATGGGAAAAGTCCTCAATACGCACTCTGATGAGCTCAAATGTGTGTGTGTTACTTACACGTGTGTGTTGAGTCTATACTTTATCCATTTGGAGTCCACACCATGGCTCCACCTGTGACCAGCTGTCTGTGTGCTCCTTAAAATCGCTGCCACTCGATTTCAGAACAGCCACTCCACTGACTCAATCAGCAGCAGATGTGATGCGCTGCACACACCAACTTCCTGTACGGCTGCGTGTGAAGTGCTCCAGTCTTTCGAGCCAACGCGTAATAGCTCCACTTCGCTGGTATGCRCCGAGTTTCGAACCTGTCACCAGCACCAGCATGGTGCGAGGCTTTCCGCTCTGGCAGCTGAGTGAAGATCCCKATTTGGCTCACTTCCCTTTGCAACCAGTTCTCCCACTTTTTGCTTTTCRGAGCTATAACTTCACACATTACGGCTTTGTCGGACTTATCCTCCACGACGACGTCTCCGGAGAGCATAACCAGATCTTTTAAATAAGATTCCCTAACAAGCTCAAAAGGAGGGAATGGCAGTTCACTAAAACTGTGCTCCGCTTTGACAAATGCTCCCTGCTCACTCCGCTGGGAAAAGATATTACAGCTATGCTTTAATATAGCAACCGACTGCACTGCTTGTAAAACTAACATCGTAGACACTCCACAGAACAAGAGCCAAGCCTCTCATGTGAATGCTAGAACATAAGTATATCCTYACAATYTGATGTATAGCGTTCACCTGCCAGRCACGGCATGGAAATGCTGCAGCTGTTCTYATGTGCTGACAAATAGCAGGTAGTGGAAGGCCACACACTTTCTAAAAATGAGTTTAACGGATGCTATTTTCAAACACGTGTCTGGAGCGAACAGCAAGCAGTCTGGTAGTAAACGGCACAAAAGCTGCAGCAATGTCTTGCATTCATGTCAAGGTCGCTGCTGATTACAAAATGTTCGTGTCAGAGATATTGTTGTTTATTTTAAAAGACTTTAGCCTTGATTCGTTCAATTTCTCTTGCTAAAACCACAAAACTGGCCCATGTCGGCTGGTATTGATCATTGTCCAACAGAATARAATAGGGTCTCTGGTGGGGATTAACCTTTTGTGTGGATGGTGACAGCAGCTGAGGTGCTGTCCCCAAACTGTGTCTGGCTTGGATAATTAGTTGGATACACATTTTGTATTAATTTTTGTGAAGTTACTCAAACAATTTAGGCTTCTTCACTTTATTAAGCTTCATTGGTTTTTGTTTTGACCTTAAATGGAAAAAAATGTCCTGAAATAGAAAATGTGTCAAGTGTTTACTTAATCAGTGTTATGTGGCATTTTTATTGGATAAAACCACCTGATTATTCAGTTTCTTTTTCAAGATGGCGTACATCAGAAACTCTGGGGGCTACAAAGTAATCACCAAAAATCTTGAAATACCAAATACAGCAGGTAAAATAAGTATTGAACACGTCACCATTTTTCTCAGTAAATATATTACTAGAGGTGCTAATGAATTGAAATTTTCACCAGATGTCGGCAACAACCCAAGAGATCCATACATACAAAGAAATCAAACTATAAATGTCCAGAAATGAAGTTATTTGTAATAATRTGGAATGGCACAGGGAAAAAGTATTGAACACATGAAGAAAAGGAGGTGTAAAAAGGCATGGAAAGCCAAGACACCAGCTGAACTCTCTCAGTAATTAGAAAGCAAGCCTATGAGGAGCGCCAGTTAATACACAAACACACATACACTGCAAAACATGGTGAGWAGGGCTTCAGGCTGACCTGAAGCTATCTGGACTGATATCTGTATAATTCTCTTCACACTAAGGTTCAAAGAAAAGCACAGAGGCAGGTCAAAAGTTTGTAAATTCTCCAAAGGGCTTGTTTTGTATTCGCATGCACATAGTTCAACTTAATACGCCAATCAAGTAACTATGTCACCTTAAATTGTTATGAAAATGSTAGCCATAAACACCTTGAAACTAGTTTCTGTCTTTAAGAACCTCCTAACATTTCTGACACTCCCAATTCAACACGTCTTAATGCTTCACACCATTCACAACCTTTTATAGGAGTGTTGTATTTTTTTGTACAAAAAAAAAGAACATTATATAATATTGATTTTGGAAAATGGCAACTCAGGGTACAGCTGAACCTTACTCGAATGATCTCATGTCTGGCCCGGAAAGTGTGTTTTCTGAATAACCGGAGGGAGTACAAATGCTCTTACAAGATGTTTCAGCTTGGTAATATACAGTATCTCTACTGCTAGCTATTTTTAGTGTAGAAACTATATAAATAATTATGAAATAAAATCATGAGCATCCACCATTTTTAAGATACATTTTGCAGTGAACTCATAGTGATTTGTAAAGAACTTTTACTCATGCCACTTGTCTGGTGGAGGTGTGAAGCTGTGTGTGTGTGTGTGTGGGGGGGGTGAGTGGTGCTCTGTGGGGCAGGAGCTCAGCTGGGGTCTGAGCTCCAGGGAGGGGTAGGTGGTTCTTTGTACCAGCAGCTCCCCATGGCTACCATGGGATATTCAAGGATTTCTCAAACATGCATGAATGAGTCAAAGCAACAATCTGGGTATGTGTTGGATGAGGGAATGACATTATAACATGAGATAAAACTCAAAAAAGTCAATTTTGTACACACCCCCTTAAGAAATTGACTGTTTTGTAAAATATTCTTACTACTGTGAAGTTAAAACCTGACAAGATGTCTTCACAAATGTAGTTTTGTGAATGGAAGACTTTACAAACAGCAAAACATGGCAGAGTTCTTATCATGACGTGGTTAGTTTCTTGTCATGTTCAGTTATCCAGGTCACAATAGGTTATCGCTTTAGTTGTTGTGGTGATTCCTACTCACATAAGAAACAAACAAACAATGCATGAATTTAAACTTTGGTTTCGGTGTTGATTGCTTTGATGTCAGTGGATGAGTTGAAGCACGCGGATGAGTCTGAGCTGTAATAATGGCAACAAAAAAAAGCCTTCCAACAATGTTTGTAAAACTTGTCAGACTGCTCCAAACTTATTCTCAGCTGGTCGTAAATGTTTCAGATACCTTGCTCCAAGGACATTTGTGACGACTATAAATCTACACAAAGGGCTTTTACTGAGTATCTTTAGGGTTGAGGAAATCATAGCTTTGACATGACTGAAGGACTGAACAGATGTGGCACACCTCATGAGATTCCTGTTCTGTTAGCTGTCTTACGGAACAGGGTGTGCTGCTGTACAGTACGTACGCTTCACATAACTCCTAAACATTTAGGCCATGCAACATAAATGAGAATTGATTTTTACTCCCTTTGAAAGTCACTCTCAGATAGTAAGTCTCAACCTGCACGAGTGCCAAATTAGCCATGGAGGTACAAATATAATGGGGTACAGAGTGAGTTGAATCACCGGTGATTTAATTGCTAATTAAATGAGGGATATTGCTTAATTACAGTATGTTACAACCGGAGCAACCTTGTGAGTGTTGCCAGAATCAATGAATGGTGCAGCATCCATGCTGTTCTGTGGGGAGCTCTTTGCTGTGCATACTGCTGACTGCCACTAACTGGTACGGTCTGCAGCAGCTGCCCATCCATCTGTAGCAAAAGAGACCAGAGACAGGGAGTAAAGGGTGGGTGGGCAGAACCAGTTTAAGCTGTCTTATCTCTGTATCTTTGTGTCAACAGGCCTGTGGTTTGATGGGGGATGCAGGGACTGATGTCACAGCTTTGGATGCCTCTGTCACCACCTTGACCTGCAGCAGCAACACCCTGGTGCCCTGTCGACTGAGGGGCTCCAGCCAAGCGGGACTCCCAGCACCCACAACCACCACGTCCACCTCTGCTTCCTCATCTGCAGCTGCCTCCTTCTTTATTAGGTAAGCACCTCCCCTGCACCTTCAAATCCCAGGAAGGCTGTCTGTCAAAATGTAGATTAGATTGTGGTACAAAATGTGTTTGCATACACATCCACGGGCTTCTATTTGTTTTGGTGTGCTGAAAAGATATGCACAGACTTGCCTTGAAATGCCTACCAAAGACTGCAGCTTGTGGTGTTAGCCTCGATGTGGGTTATTTGCCTTTTCAGTGGAGATGTTGTTCATGCTACGCTTGAATTATAGCATGCTATGGGATGCACATCATGGAACTAAATGAACCTTTAGTTCCAGGCACCACTGCCCTTGAATGAATGATAGAAATACACAACATGATGTGAGGAGGCAGTGAGTCACGAAAAAGGGCTTAGGTTAAAGCTTGGTATTGTCCTGAAGTATTTAGCTGTTTTTTTCCCCTTTGTTTTCACTTTCAAATATAAAAGCAACCCTGAAAGGCCCATTAGTACTCCTGATTAACATTTTGTGTATCTAGCACTCGAGGGGGCGTTTCAGCGTTGCTTGGCTCTGGTGTTGTTGACTCCCCCGGAAAATCATTYGCCCACTCCAGGCGGAGAAAATGTGCTGTACTGTCATTGATAGATTCTTTGGCAGCCTGGTCAGTGCGTGCATTCTCTGACTCCTCTTTCTCAAGAGTGTTATAATGAATGTTGGTGAGAGCCGAGCTGGGTGAAGAGGGACGCACATAGGAGCATTGAATCCTCCGCACCACAGGAGGTGGAGGCAAGCAGTGAGGGGAGTTTGTGGAGTGTGACAGGAGGCTCATGGGAGATCAGTTTGGAGCTCAGCCTTGTCTTTAAGCAGCCCAAATAGAGTTTGTCTTGCCAGTTTTCATTGGGTCATCATACATCAGGGGGACCATGAGACCCTTTCCTTTKACTAAGGGGATAATCCAGATCCTCCACTAAACACGCAACTTCCTTCTCACTTCCTTTCACAAAAGATCTGGGTCTAACCACTAATTAGTTGGAGCATTCTGCTAGTGGGTAAATATCTGACAAAGATTTATTAGTTCTGTGTTTTTTTTGGACCCGGACTCAAAAAGAGAAGTGGAAAAAGACAACTATTCAGCGTGAGGGCATGCTTTCTTTGGTTTCTAGGCGGTCATGGTCAAGCAGAAGGTGTGTACACCTTATTTTTTTATATAATTTGCTGCCAAGAATGTTGTATTTAACTTGGCACAAAAACACAATGGGGTCAGTCTAAAACAGCCTCACAATCTGTAGACACTGAAGTTGCGAATGTATGTTGACTCGAAACGCACCGACTCTCTCGCTTTCTGCAGCTGTTTCCTGCAACAGGCTTTTAAAATCATCATTATTTTTATTCTGATAAGTAATTGTTGATTGAAATAAAAAGTAAAAAAATAAAAACAGTCTAAAAGATTGGAATGAATCAACAGTGTTTCCTCCAGTTGTGCCTCATTTAGGGAAAGCAAATTGGTTTGAATTAATGTTTGTCATATTTCCGACATGATTGAAAATTCACATCTGATTAGTATTCTTCTTTTGTTCTCCGTGGATTCAATTAGCAGGCTTGAATGTGTAAATCCTGATCGCCTCCAGAACGCAGGAGCAGAATAACCAAACAGCAGTTTTTACCCCGACGGAGTGGAGAAGGCTCTTTAGACACATGTCTGACATTCACCAACATCATTTCCCTCAGAAATGTAATTTTAATTAGAACGCAATTAGTAGGAGCTCTTTCTCTGCCGAACGAAGAGAGGAGTGCGATCAGCAAAAKATTCAACATTTGAGTTTTAATTTGAAAAAGAAGTCAGCCAAATCACTTTTTGTGAAGGCATTTCAATTCTTTCATTTAAGATGCTCACTGAGTTGTAAAATAACTTCAGTAAAAAGTGTCAGCTTGATAACCATGGAGCTCAGAAGGTCAACGTACCTCCTTCGATTTCCATTAAAACCGGTGGCTATTTAAATAACTCAATTATTTTTAAATAGGACCTTTTTTTGGGGGGGGGGGGGATTATTTATAAAAAAAATTAACTTTGAATTTTTTGTTTGAACAGCAACATTTACTAGAGCAATTGTGTACGATTAAAAACATTAACATCAGGGTTGTAAAATGTGCTTGATAATAGATTGTGTTATTTATGGGGATACAGTATTAATAGGAATGAACTAGTCATTAATTTAAGAGGTCAAACTCCTCATTTTGTTCACATTAATTTATTTGATTTATAACACGCTACACAGAGACCTCTGAGGCTGTGCAGGGATTGTGAAACTAAAAGTGCATTTAGTCACTTCATTCTTGCCCGTGGGACATTTTTTCAAGTTAATGAAATGAATAATGTGACGCATCTGTTGGGGAAAAGTACACCGAATGCATTTTTTAAAAGATGTCTGTAAAATTATTGCTCTTTCTTCTATCTACTTACTTTTCCTGGTAAATGTATGGAGCATCCTTTGAAACTAATGTGACCTGAGGGTCAGAAATGACCAGTTGGCAATTAGTCTAACTATGCAGTCTCAGGGAGACAGGAGGAGTCAGGGGTCAYGCTCCTATCTGATGGAGTGTGTGTCTGCATATCATTATGTGTGCAGAGCTTCATCGGTGTCTTTGGAGGTGTGTGTGGGGGGTTGTAATGAATTTAGAGCCATGTGTTCAGCTGACTTAAGCACTGATTGCCTTGTGACAGAGCATATGATTAGTGTATTGACACAGAGTTGTGTAATGAACACAGGCGGAGCTCACAGCATGGGGTGAGACGGTGAAGCTAACTGCCTCCTCGCAGGTCCTTCCACCCATCTCTCTGTTCCATCAACACCTGCTGATTGTGATGGTGTGTTTAATAAGAACCGGTGCTCGTGGGATTTCTCTGCGCACACTGCCTGGGGGAGTCCACTGCTCAGTTTGTAGCCTAGTTAGATCAGCAGACTCGGTTCTTCACAGCAGCATTAGACACTTCTCATGGTTTATTGATAGCTCCTTGTTTATGTGCGTTTGGAGAGGTGGCTAGTCCATTTGTCATTTTGCCTCCTCTCACTGATCAGACCTTGGAGATAGATGATTWACTAACTCTGGTGGTGGCTTGGTGGTCAGTGCTGCAGTCTCATAATCCTGAGGTTGCAGGTTTGAGCCCACTCAAGCTATTTTCAGAACACTAGCATGACTACGTCCACTCGACACCAGTGCGCACAAACTCTTGTAGCAGCTCCATTGGTTTCAGTCACAGTGAGTTGGTTTAACTGTGTTTAAACATAAAGAAATTTGGGAAAACKGCATCAAACTCCATCGGGAAGACCTCAAAACATTGTTCTAMAGTACTTGTATCAGTGACTCAGGATGTAGCCATCATCCCCACATCCACACATGAGCTGTGTCCAAAGTGGGAGGCCGAGTCCGCCGAAGGCCAAATTCGTTGGCCGCTTACGTCACAGCGCCGCGACGGAGGCTGTCCGAAACCGAAGACTCCTCCGATGCGGCTAACAAATGCGTCCTTCCTTTGGCCTGAATTGAAGGACTGGTCCGATGGATCCTTCCCGGCCCAGCATATCCCAGAATGCATTGCAACCCGACCAGAGATTTTTTTTTACGCTAGTAATGGCAGACGAAGCGAGAGAAAATAATATGTGATAAATAAAAATATGGCTGTATAAAAAAGTAAAAATTTCAAGCGGTTATGTTGTTAATACTTTTATCATTTGTATAGACATGTTTCTAATTTTATTTTTGTCAGAAAAAAGCGTGAAATAAACATGCATCATGTCCATTAGTTCTTCAAATATTACCTTTAAGTTAATTTTATWGTTTTGTGATATTAATAAAGCTAATATATTGATTTTTTTCTAATTTCAATATAATTTTGCTTCTGTTTAGCGTCATCATGGATGCTAGGCAACAGCAGGTATGCCGGTGTAAGGACGGGAGGCTAAACTGTCCAAATTCACAGCCTCTTATTTCCGATCTTCGCAGTCTACCAAGGACTCGGCCTACTTCGACCTGTTATGGACACAGCAATGGAAAGAGTTCTTTTTGTCACTTTTCCTTAGCTAAGATGTTAGCTAACAGCTGGATTTGACCATAAAATAGTGCAACAATGCATTTAATATCTGTTCCAAACATTTTTTCAGAGGTAAAAGATCAACACAGGACCACCCGGATCCTATTCCTGCACTTTAAACCTTATATTGTTTTACTGTAGCCTACTGCTAGTTTTACTTGTATCATGCATGCTAGCTTTCAGTCAGTCACACACATGGTGATAGTATTTTACTTACACAAATTTTAAAACATCACCATTAAGTGTCTTTAAATGATGCAGAAGCGGTGTATCTGGTGATGAAAACACWCACACAGAAATGATTCATGCAGCAAGCTACAGTATAAGACACCACACCAACCTTTTAATAAAGGCCTCAACCCTCCTGCCAACCTTTTAACTGAACTTTCCTATGATTCCTAATGCCGAATGTGATGAAATTTGTTATTAACTCTGAATCTCTGTATAATCCACGCAATCCATTTGAGAGAGTGGCAGATAATGTATGTAAACAATATGTGTGACATCACGAGTGGACATCACCGTTGCCAAATCACTTGTGCAAGTTTGTTGACTGCAGAGGGGAACAGCTGAAAGAAAAGCAACAACTAATTCTGGTAAAAAGAAAACTCAAGGCTTTAGGTGGCACATACAGGCAGGTGGGCTGTTGCAGAGGCAGGGCAGACAGCTGTTTGCTGAAACGTGCCCCTGGAGGAATGGAGGAGGAAGTGGTTTTATGGTCACCCATCTCTGCTGTGCAGCTGCTGCCCAGGTGAGTGTTTGCGCCGTAATGACTGTGATCGTGCAGGAATCCTCTTGTAATTGTGGCAGCAGGGCCATTTAGCCTCGGTTTTCCCTGCACTCGCAAGACCCTGCCTTTTTGTTTCAGCGTCGCTCACTCTGCCCTTCATCCCCCTGGCTGCTCTGGGTAACCATAGGAACGTGTGATTAGCTCGTGGGAGTAAAAACGCCACTGATTTTT